GGCCCTACAGTAAGTGGGAGATCAAATAAAGTGACTTCTCAGGTCTTAATCTGTCATTTCTGGTCATAGGTCACTGTGAAAAGCAGGTTGTCCTAAAAACTGAAAGCTTTCCTCTATAGTCAAAAACAAGACAAGGATGTCCATTATCATCACCCCTGTTCAATACTCAGAACTTTAGCCATTACTCAAAACTTTAGCCAGAGCAATCAAGCAAGAGAAAGAAATAAAAGGGATTCATATAGAAAAAGGAAGAAGCCAAACTAACATTATTTGCAGATGACACAATCCTTACAGACTCCTAACACTATTAAATTCAGCAACGGATAGAACACAAATCAAAAGTCACATAAAAATCAATAGCCTACACAAATAATGAACCTACCAAGAAAAAAACTAGGAAAACAAAACCATACACAACACAACAATCTCAAAAAAAATTAAATTCTCAGAAATTAACCTGTCCAAAACAGTGAATGATCTTTAGCATGAAAAATAGAGTGAGAAGCTGAAAGAAACTATATACATAATAATTGAAATAGTTATACTACTGATTTTTCTAAGCTGGTTGAAGAGAAAGGTTTGTGCTACTATTGTTTGGATAATTAAATGCAGATGTATTGCACTCGGAGTAACTGATTTGAAGATAACAATACACAATGTATATACCATTGTTACCCCTAATTATTGTGTTTTGAAATTTCATTTTTCTTTTTAAAATAAGATAGCAAAAAAGAAAAATACGATAAGAAGACCAGAGAAATCAAAGAGGTCATCAGAACATGGAAGGCTATATAGATAGGCAGAACCAATATTGTCAAAATGATCACGCTTCCAAAACTGATACACAGATTTAATAAAAACCCAATACCAATACAAACCAAAAATACCACTAACATTCCTCACAGACTACAAAAAAAACAATATTAAAATTCTTATGGTACTTGAAGAGACCCAGAATAGCAAAAGCAATCCTGGGTAACAAATGCAAAGCAGGAGGCATCATAATCACAGATTTCAAGTTACAATACAAAGCAACAGGGCTGGGGATTTAGCTGAGTGGCATAAGTGCCAGCTGGCAAGCATGAGGTCATCAGTTCGATCCCAGTACCAAACCAAACCAAACCAAACCAAACAAAGATACAGTGACTCTTTTTTTTAAAAAGCAGCATGATACTATCACAAAAACAGACATGTATCAGGGGACAGATTAATGGACACAGAAAAACCCCACGCACATTCAGCCATTTGGTCTTTGACAAATAGGCCAAAACACACTCTGGAGAGAAGATAGACATTTTAGCAAATAATGGTGGGAAACCTGGCTATCCACATGTGGAAGATTGAAGCTAGACCCATGTCTCTTATCATGCACTAAACTAAAAACAAAATAGTCAAAGATTTGAATATTAAAATAGCAACACTTCCCCTGTTGGAAGATAAAATTAATAAATACTGATCAAAAAAAGAAGTACCAATGGCTAATAAATACATGAAAAAGTATTCAACATCTGGTCACCAGATAAATTAAAATAATATAGAGATTCCACTTTACTCCAGAAAGAATGGCTATTACCAAGAAATCCAATAATAAGAAATACTGGTGAGGATACAGAGCAAAAGACACCCTTCTGCCTTGTGGTAGGAATGTAAACTAGTACAACCACTGTGAAAATCAGTGTGAAGATTCCTCAAAAAACTAAACTTAGAAATTTCACTCAAACCACCTATTCTCCTTTGAAAGAGTTAGAGACATCGTGCTGCACTGATCTGTGCACGCCAATGTTTATAGCTGCAGAACTCACAACAGCTAACTCTTGGAAGGGCTCTACATGTCCATCAACAAATGGATAAAGGAAAGGTGGTATTTACACATCATGGAGTACCACTCGTAGGAAAATGGATAAATCCTGAGACTATAATATTACGTGAGATAAATCACATACGCAACTTAAATACTGTCTAACCTTTCTTACAGGAGAAATTCAAAGTATATATAATTTTAAAAGCAGAAGAAAAAATAGACAATCAGAAACAAGGAGAAAGGGAAGAGGATCTAGAGATAAAGGAGGAGGGAAGGGAAAAGAAGGACAAAAAAAGGAAATATGTTCTATACATGTACCTACTTCCCACAATAAATGTAACCGTTATATCCTACAAACATGTACTGACAAACAATAAAGTAAAAGTTTAATGAGTGGGCTCCCTCCCGAGCCCAGACAGCAAGAAGGGAGGGTCAGTGTCACTCACAGCCGAGGCTGCTGAGCCCCGACAGCCAGAAACACGGACAGCCATTGTGGAGTCGGATTGAAATCTGAGTCACACCCAGCCACTAACACATGGGTAACCCTGAAGAAATTAACCTATTTGAGATCCCTCCTATTTTTTTTTTTACTAAACTGTAGAAATGAAAACATAAGTAAAACAGTACCCCAGGCTTACTCTAAGAATTAAGGAAATTTATGTCACTCACCAATGAAGAGTTCTTTAAATTTTCCCTTAAATTACAGCACAAAGACACCAGAGGCACACGTATTTATCACATATGAGGACCATCCATTCACTTTCGTTAAGTATTTATTTACAGATTATCTCATGCAAAGCACTCTGCTGTAGGTATAGAACATAGGTAACAAACATTCTCAAGCAAAAACCTCTGGAGAAATTCATACTCTAGTAAAGAAACTGATCAATAATATACATAGGTGACTGAAGTCAGGCAATCAGTTAAGTGTAGGACAAAGAACACAGCATGTGGGTTTTGGATGGGCACAGTGGCAAAGCCTGTGACCCTAACACTCTGGGAGGCTGTCGCTGGGAGGTCACAAACTCAAGCTCAGGCCACAACACTTAGCAAAATCCCGTGGAGGGAGTAGCACCTCTGCCTGTGTGTTCCAGGAAGAATAGCGTGACATGGTAACAAAGAGGGCTGCTCCGGCGGAGGAGCTAGGTAAGCATTACGGGCAGGGAAGACCTCGTGACAGCACCTGCACACAAGAAAGGAAAAGTCACGGGCGATAAGCAGAGACTGACATTAAAATGCAAATCATATTTCTTCTCTTTTGGCTTTGGAAAGTCATCACTTGTCTACATTCTTCTGAGGACCTAAGAGATATGCCTGAGCCTTCGTTCTCTCACACTTGCCACATAATCACATTTTATCCATCTTTGTTCGGGGTACAGTTATATTTATCCATTAGGAGAGTGTTAGGCTATCCTGGCTATAATGGCCTGAACTAAGAACATGAACATGGCATGGCTGTGAGCACTGGTCAGAGGCGGGGAGGAAAGGGGAAGAATAAAGCACGCTCCAGAACCCAGGCATGAGCAAAGGGACCTATGACGATCCTGTGAGATAAACGATGGGTGTCCAAAGAAAGAGGAGGAGAGGACAGAGGGTGAGTCTGGTGTCAGACTTCCAAATTCTATCATTCAATGTAAATTTGTCTGTATCAGAAAATCAACTCAGGTTCCCTCCTCTGGGTGTAGGTAGCCTATTTTGGGCATTCAGCGAGGGCTATTTCACTGTTCTCCACAGATGCCTCTCAGACACGGTGAAGTTATACCCTAATAAAACCACCATAAGTTAAATATATTATAAATTGAAAGTGCACTTGGCATACAGAGCCTACCAAACATCATAGCTTTGCCTGTCCCACTTTAAATATGCTCAGAATACCTATATGAGCCTAGAGTTGAGAAACACCGTCTAACTCAAAGCCTGTCTTATAATAATACACATCATTTAATAATATAACATGTTCAATATATATCATTTATCAAATAGTGTACTGAAAGTGAGAGGTGAGGTGGTGGAGTACTATACTTCCACATTACTTCAAAGTCAGAAAAGTCATGAGGTGAACCATCCAGAGTCAGGGATCTTCTGTAGTTATAATTTCTCACAACTGACCTATGTCCAGGGGGAAGAAATATTCTGCCCAAATTCTGTAAGTCTGGGGCCTTAAAGCCCTCAGAGCATTAAAAGAGACAGGATTTAGCTGCATTAGGTCTGAAATCTCTCTCAGATCAAGCAAGGCTACAGCATGCAAAGGATGGATCAAGAGGATCCGCGTATGAATGTATATATAACCCACATATTCTTTGCATACTTCCAAATTGCATTGTTTATGCAGCTGCTCGCAAACTCGCCTTCTCTGTTTATTTTCGTCCTTAGGGGAAACAGAGACGAGCGCTCTGCCTATTAGGCACAGTGAGATCAAAGAGTCCCCTTGCAGCCTGAGAGAGCACACCACTCAACCCTTCCATCTGAGCAGAGATCAAAACGGGACTGCTGCCTTGGAATGGCTCCCTGACCAGAACACCTGCGACGGCACCTGTCGGCTCCTCCTTCCGCTGCTCACACCAAATGGCCAGGCTTTGCTCCCCCTAGAATGAAATGCGAAATGACACCAAAGCTCTCAAAACAGAAAAGGCATTTCCCACTAGGTTGACTAAGACAACACTTGTATCAGAGAGCAGGTTGCATTCCTGTTGATCTACCAGCCACAGGGGGAGGTGGGACTCAAACAACACACACACACACACACACATCTCTGAAAGGTCAGCTGACAAGCTAAAGGTTATCCAGCAGTCTGTAAGTGGACCTGGGATGTAAGCAGATGGCAAACACTTGCTTTCGCTCTTGGGCCAAGAGGAAAAAATTGACACCCTCTGTGTTTTCTTTCCCCATCTCTGCTATGTCACCTTCTTAATTGGTTCTAATGACTTGGAGCATGACTCTAGAGTGACATTTATTCCCGGCACCATTTTGGTTGGCGAGAGACACAGGCCTGCCCTTCTAAGCTATCAAATGGTGCATTGTTCACCTGCGCAGCCTGAGGCTTCCCTCGCTGCCCTGTCCAAGCTCAGTGGGGTTTGCTTCAAGGCATGGCAATGACGATGAGAACTGTAATGGAAGGGCTGGGTGGGAGCAAGTGTGGCTTTGGGTCCCAGGAGTCTTCCCTTTGAGAAATTTCAGGGTGAAGTGGATACCGGCTCACCTCTCACGGAGCGTTCATGAATCGTTTTGTAGAGTAAGTTCCCAGTCCAGTACTTTAATCCATCCTCAGGGTCTATGCTTACAACCACTGACCCTGTATGTACAAGAAATGGAAAAGTTGCATTTGATCCAAATTCCAGTTGTGAGTGAAGTGACCAAGGCCTCTCCATCTCAGCAAGAATTAGGGTGAGGAACTGGCAGCTCCAGCTCCACCTAAAACCGTCAGCAGGAAACACCAGTCTGCTGTTTGGTAAACATCAAAGGGAGAGTGGGCAGGAGGGGACACCTGGCACCATGGCCACTGGCAGGTAAGCAAGCCGAGTGAGGACTGAGGCCAGAGGCTGTGGGACACAGGGAGACACTGCAGGCTGGAGGTGAAGCTGAGAAACCAGGCGTGGCCTCAAGGAGGAGCCGGGAGGGAATAGCATTGAGAGAAAGACCCAGATTTAATGAAGCAGATGATTCAGTGTAGGGGATCACCCCGTTTCCATGATTGAGTCTGCAATCCTGCCTTCCTGTATCCACTTCTATCTCATCCAGCACCTGTTCTGCAGGCAAGAAGCAGGGAAAGGAAGAAACCATTTCTAAGTGGATGACTAGCAGTGAGTAGCCTTCCAGGCAGCCAACTCCTGACAAAGAAGCTTGAGGCGGGTACAAAGGCCCAGAGCTGGGGGCTCTGGACAGCAGGAAAGCCGCAGGAGAGGCGACTGCATCTCAGGGATTGATGCACTTTGTTCCAGGGGCACTGTAAGCATTTCCACAGCTCCCTTACACAACCACCTGTCCGAAAGGGCACTGGTGCTGGAAAATGACTTACAAGCTGCCTCCTTTCCTGAAGTTTATTTACTGCTCCCACTTGGCTCTCTATGTGGTCTAACCACTTTCCTCCTGGAATGTTCTAAGTTTTGATAGACATTAAGCTACTTGAGGACAAGGACTTGACTCATGGGCTTTTCGTGGTTCTGTTTGTTTTGGATTTCGGGGAGGTTTTGTGGCGGTTGTTCTGGATCTCCCTCAGTGGCTGTAATGGTATCCTGCACACTTCAGCCTTCAGTGAGCGGTTGTTGGCAAACTGATTTCTCCCGTCGAGAGCTTACTGGGAACCTCAGACAAAAGGAGGTCAACCCTCTAACCACTGGTTGCACCTCAGTATTTACAAATATAGTGAATAGTTTCACAAATAGCTCACTTTTCTCTTTATAAAATCCTAAAAATGAAAGGAAATGATTATTAAGTCCTTTTTCACAGATGGGGAAGTTGTCACATCTCGTATTAAGTAGTTGCTGGCTGTGCATGAATTTTTACATTCACCCGCTTGTTCATCCCAGCAGCTGTTGAATGTGTATATAGACTAATTTGTGACACCTGGTAGTTTACATTCACATTTGCCAATTCAAAAACCATAACAATCCTGTGTGATAAGCACTCACATGCCTCGTTTAGAGACAAGGAAACAAGCACTCAGGTACTAGATGATTTGCCCAAGTTAATACACTAAGAAATGGTACTCAAAACACTGCTGTGTCTCCAAAGCTATAGGCTATTATTAATAATATGCAACACTGCTTCCCAAAGAGACCTCAAGACAGAGTCAGGCTGAAACGCCAAACTTCACAGCTCCAGAAAATCACCTCACTTCAGCCCACACTGCTATGATTGGTACTTTTTCACATACTTCTATATAAGGGTATCTATGTCTTCTGCATATTTACTTTTTTTCTTTTAAAAAGTATTGTCAATCATATATGCTAGAAATTTGAGGAGCATTTTTGTTGGGGTTTTTTTTAGGGGCGGGGTTGGTACCAGACATCGAACTCATAACCTCACATTTGCCAGGCAGGTGCTTATGCCACTGAGCTAAGTCCCTGGCAAATTTATTTCTTTAATGCTCACACTTTTCACTACAGGCATGTTTTGGGTAAATGGGCTAAACGTGTACTAACATAGGCATACACTGCAGGCTGGGGTTGGTTACTTTTTTTGTTTTACTTTAATTAGTACACGTTTGCAGTACATAATACATTCACTGCAGGAAATCAGGACATGTACAGAGTCATTCTTTTTTATCTTTATGCATCATGTCACTCTATAGTCAATAGTCTGTAACTACAAACATCCATGATCAAATTATTGACTCCTAAAATATTTCTTAATAATTTAAAGAGATAAATTCACTTAATTTTAACCTAGATTTCAACACTTCTAGTCTCCCCCAGAAGTCATATCATCCATTATCCAACTTTGTCAAAACCTCAATCTCTCTATTTTCTCGCAAGCCTAAAGGCAGGTGCTCACCATTCTGCCATACTGAAGACGAGTGTGGTTGACATCCTCATCACTAACAAATTCTCTCTTTCCTGCCCTAACCAAGTGTCTTGTGAGACTGTATTATCTCTTCCATATTTACCACTAGCTCCCAAATGGATGGTGATGTTAATTCATGCAACCATTCCAGTGAAAATGGTACATCAAGTGGTGACCATTCCCAGATGCAGGGGATGTGTGTAAGTGTGGAGCAGGAGTGTGCATTCCTGACACGCTCCTAATGCTGCTTGCACTGCAGGACGTGACCCTGGACCACACTTGGAGCAATGCTGCTCTCAACACTTTCAGTCGTTGTTCAACTGGTTCCCTTTGTTTCGGTGAATATTGCTAATGGAGCATTCCTTCAAAATTTTCTTTTGATACTCTTACCTGATTTCTCTTTTGTCTCTCTGGCTGGAGACTTGCTTAGGTTTCTGGCATCTCTCCTTCTTGTTAAACCTAAGGCCCTACTCTGTGGTCGGCTATTGGCCCTAGTTTATCTCCTCTTGCCTCCTAAGGGTTTCTTCTGCTGTCAGTTGTCTTTTCCAGAGTTATACTCCTCCATGTTTCTCCCTAAGCCAAGCCAAATTATGTCATTCCCTTGCTTATACCCATTTGGGCTATTCAACGGGTCCTTAGCAGGAATAAAACCTCCATAGCAGGGCCCCTTCCTTGACAATCTAACTTTATTTTTTTTCTATTTTAATTTTTTATTTTAAAGAGAATAAAACCAAGCAAAATAAAGCGGAACAAAGCCAATCAAAACAAGGCAGTGTGACACAGGGTTTCAAAACAAGGTAAAAGGAAATCAAAAATGGCTACCATAGTGCCTGCCCATGCCATCAGACATAGGAAAATTAAACAAAACAGAACAAAGTAGAACCAATAAAAACAAAACAATGAATACAGTACAGGACTTCAGAAAAAGATAATAGTAAATCCAAAATGGCTGCCATAATATGTCTTGTTATTTTTGAAATAGCTGCCCATGCCATTGGACATAACAAAATCACACAAGACAAAACAGAATAAAACAACACAATGAAAAAGATACAGAACTTTAAAACAAGCCAATAAGGAATTAACAATGGCCACCACCTTCAGGAGGAGATTCCCCCGTAGACGCTATATTGCATATTGTTACCCTCTGAATAGATGATCAAATTACCAGCTTTAGGCCTACAAAGTCAATAGAACACCAAACACTACAAGCATTAAGTTGTATTTTACTTCAATAGCTATCATCTCAGCCTGTGTTTCTCTGCACTGGCTGGTCACTCAAAGGGCAGGAGCGGTGGGACCTTAGCTCCTCTTGTCTCCCAGCCTGTCCACCGGGAGGGGCTTGTGTCTGGTTGTTGTCCCGTGGCCCATGCATGGCGCCAACTCACAGAAAGCAACTGGCTTCTCACTCTCCTCCTTGCAGCCCACAAATGGCACCAAATGACCGGAAGGGGCTGGTGTCTGGTTGTCCCCCTGCAGCCCCTGCATTGCCCCGACTCACAGGAAGTAGCTGGCTTCAACAGTCTCACTTCTGGAAACTTTCTTTATATACCTTACATTCTATTAATATTGACCTGCTCTTAATTCCCAAACATACGCAACATTGTTTCAAGCTGCTTTACCCTTGGTCCTATTGTTTTCTCTTTTCAGTACGTCCCCACCCTTACGGGCAGTTTCATTCTGCTGGCTAATTCTTATTCATCCTTCAAGATTCTGAAACTCAGGTTTTCTCATCCAGAAAACATTCCCCAGCCCCCTTCTATTCCCTCTGGCACAGAGTGTGCTAAATCCCTTTCTTTGTACTCCCACGCTGTCCCACGCTTATTATCTCTTTTACAGCACACTCCTGACTTCTAATGCATTCGTGTCCTCTTACTAGACAGTAGACTGAGGGAATAATTCATCTTTACAGCTGCTCCCTCAGTCTAGCAAAGCCACTAGATTCAGTGAATATTTTCAGAGATGACCTAAGCCTTTTTCTTCTCTCCAAAATGCAGGTATGTAAGGTGAGTCAGAAGTATCCTGGGTTCTTGAGGTCTGTAGCTCTAATCAAAGAATCAGCTGTTTATACTGAAAAGCAGAAGCAGCTGGGCTTACAGTCAAATTTATTCTGTTGATTCTCCAAATTCCTTGCCATCCCATTTGCCCTCTCTGGCCAATATGCAAGTCTTCCCACAAGGACAGCAATGCAGATGGGATGCCTAATTAACTATGTTCCTGGAGTACCCACAGAGCTCAGGCACCGTATGTTATGAGTGTAACACTGCCTAGTACTTATCTGGGCAGACATGAGCTGAACCATGGGACCCATCTACCCAGTCTGTCATCAAGTTTCCTGAAGTTGCTAGGAAAAATGGCTACACTTCACGTCTTTTGGGAAATAACCCTAGAGTTGAACTGCAACCCCTAACTGTAGCTTAAGGAGGTAAAGCAGTCCAGCATGGCTTCTCTGAGTCACAGTGTTACAGAGGAACAAGTTATGCCAGCCTTTCAAGAACAAGCAAATCTATTGCTATACAGTCCCTTCTCTCACATCTCAACCCAGCTAGGTGGACATTTGCTGTGCAAATATGCTGCAAGGTACTACACAATTGAAGATGCTACAGTGTCTCTAGGAAATACAATATGTGAGACCACCAGTGTATCTACAGTGTATTGCTGACAGAGGTAGCATTTTGCAGCCCATGGGAACTGAACACAAATTCAGTATTTCCCAGTGGTTCTGACCTGAAGTCTGTACAAAGAGAACTGACACATTTCCTGACCTCTTGTGCATTATCTTGAAGAATT